TACATACGCAATGTGTACAAGTTTGCACAGCAGTATACATTTTATGAATTTACCACCATTATTTTGATGACTAAGGTGCGCCTGACCCAAGCCATGGTATTTGCAATTGCCTCGTATGCATGCAAAAGCTGAGCAATACATAAGGAAGACTGAAGGAGAACTGATGCATTTGAATTACGGTGTTGGCAAAGAATATTAAATACGCCATTGACAGTCAGAAGAACGACCAAATCTACCTTGGAAGAACTGCTCCATAGCGTTTTTAAGGCTGTGATCTTTCAGAAGTAGATCACCAGGCCTTTCTTCCAAAGCACTCTGGGTGGGTTCAAACTGCCAATCTTTCAGTTACCAGTCAAGCGCTTAACCGTCTGCGCCACCCAGGGATGAACAGACTTTACACCTGTTGCCACTGAGTCGAACAGAGACTCACAGAGACCCTATAGGTCATAGAGACCCTACAGGGCAGAGGAGAACTGCCCCATACGGCTTCCAAGGAGCAGCTGGTGGATTTGAACTGCTGACCTTTGGTTAGCAGCCGAGCTCTTAACCAATGCACCACCAGGGCTCCGCATGGACTTTAGATGGTCTTAATTCAGTCACAACAGATTCTTTTGAAGGTACCAGTTGATTCAGTGTGGAAAACATAAGAAATATGTGGCATGCACTAATCAGAGGAAGCACCGTATTGTGAAGAAAATTTACCGTTTCACCATTTTCAAATGCAATCACCAGATTTGTAGACGCAGCTATACTTCTGGAATGGTGTTGCAATAACTCATGCCATCGTTGGCTGCTGTTCTCTCCAAAACCCTTTGGGACTGGTGCGGGTAGCATTAAATCACGAAGGAAGCATGCATGGAGAAGAGCCGCTGGGATATAGCTCCTTAGAGGGAGGCATTCTGAGGGGCACTACGCTGTGAATGGAAGTTATCCCTCAGGAGGTGACTTAAAAGTGTAGTGTCTGAATGTGTACAAATACATATTACTTTTATAATCAGAAAAAAATTAAAACGTTATACATTTGTCAGTATTTCTCACAGAAAACATTAAATTATCTAACCCAACACGTTTTGGGCATCCTGCCTTGTAGTCCTAATTCTGGAACATGTTTTCTGTTGTCTTTTGTTGTTGTTGTTTTTCAATCTGTGGCCAGGGTGTAAGATTTCAAGTTTTCCCCAGGAAGTCCAGGAGCTGAACAATTATACTCTCTTCTCACCTCTCCTGAGAGTCACTGTGCCCTTTCAATGGCAACCATCCATTCACTTCCATCTTAGTTCACAAAACTTCAACTACCACACCCTGAGCTTCCTGCTCCCACCACCTCTACCAGCCAACAGCAACCACCAGGTCCACGAAAGGGCCAGGTACTTTCTAGCAAAGTGAAACTCTTGATAGAGCTATGATGAGAAATGACAGTGTTCACGTTTACTTATCTGAAAACCAAAGACAGTCGGCTGGATTCTGAGTTGCTGAGAGAGGCCCCCGAACAGCTTGCCCAGCTGCCCTTTGTGGGCAAGACTAGTAACAAAACAAGCAACAGTCAGGGAGACAGAGTTGTAGCTACAGTGCCTGAAATGTTCCACAGTGGAAGGATGTTAAGTTAAAAATGACAAGGACTAAAGAAATTCTAGAGCATTAAGTCCACCATAAGACATGCTCCACTATTTTAAGGTCATGGGGTTTAACTTTAGGGAAAATTCTCATCAAACATAAAATATAAGGGCCTAAAGTAATGATCTGTTGGCTCATAATTTAACAGAACTACAAGGTTACTTCAATGTGAAGGACATTAAAGACCCATCTTTTCAGTAAGAAACATAAAGAGAACCAGTAAGGAGAATTTTATAAAAGTTTCTATGCAGGTCAGAAGATAATCGGCCGAAGAGTCTGGCAAATGAAATGACTTGGATCTATTCATACATGAGAAAACCCCTCAGTAATAATGAAAGTTTTTGTATTTCTCTGCAAATCTCTTAGTGGTGAAGAGAGGATGGAATTAGGTTAGACACATTTTGCGAAGTAAGGCCAACCAAAGAGAGGCAAGATAGAGAAAAACCAAACAAATTAAAATAGAGTTGAAGAGCCTGGGTCTCTTGCTGACAAATCTTTCCAGACATCCTATAGTTTGAAAGTTCACATTAATTCAGGCAATGTATTAATCCTCTGCCTCATTTCACACAGAATTTAAGGAACGATATACGCCAACTTACAGTGTAATTGGAAAAAGAATATATATGGGAAAGTAAACTTAGGCTAAAGGCAAATAAGTGTGGAATAATAAAATGAAACTGGGATAAAATTACCTTGGGAACACGTACGTTGATAACAGAAAAAATCCAGAACTTGAAATTAACTCTAATTTATGAGGTAAAAAAGAAGCTTTGCCACTCACCAATTTTAACCTCTGTAAAGGGATTCTGCCTACATCTATCTGTGTCCTTTCTGGGACATTAGTGAATCGAACTTCTGGGACCGCAACAGCACACATGACATGGGCCCACCTACAGAAAAGGAGACATTAAACGTCAACAGAGTTCCCTACCCTTGCATACCCTTCTCCTTCAAACTAGCGATGTCGAGTCTCGCAGACGGAAAACACACAGATGAGAAAGAAAGCCAAAGGCCTAAATTCATGACAAACAGACTTTTTGGACCTTAACCTCCTGATAATACCTAGAGAAACTCAATACCACACATGCCCACACCTGACATGAAGAACTAGGTTAAGACCAAGGACTCAATCCTACTAATGTACGTATATTTTTCTATACTGATCTATGAAATACTGA